TTTGCCACTCGCGATAAATATACTAATAATTATAATGATAATAAATTAATAAATATATATAATTTTATTATAAAATATTTATTAATTGTAATGAAATAGTAAAATTATGTTTTAATTAAATTATGATGACAACAATTATAACTTTTACTTAATAATAGTACTAACTAGGATTTTGTTATATATAACAACTAATACCCTTTTTCTATATATAATTATTGGTCTTAAGTCATAAAAAATTCAGAACATTATGTAAAGTGGCAATAAAAATATTGGATCTTTGAAATTTTATGAGTCATGCATTTTTGTTGGAAAGTAAATGTCTCATAATTATAATTATATCCAATAATTTATTAAATGAATGACTTTTACTATTTTATATAATTAATAATTATTTAAAATAAATTATCATATACTCATAAATTTTGTTATCATTATAAATTATCAATATATTCTAGCGAATGACCAAATAATTTGAGAAAATAAAAAGGTGCATAGTTAATGAGGTTATGGATCATTAGTTTTATAATTAATGGTATAATTTTGAGTTATAAAAAAATTGAGAGAGAGAGTAAAAAAGGAAATCAAAAGTTTTGACATTGGTATTCTCTTTTATAAGTAGTATAGATATAGATTTTAAAATCGTTCGGAGATAGGAAAATGAGTGAGCGGCTTGAAGAAAAAAACTAAAGTATTGGATAAAAGTTTTAAGTGTTTAAATATAATAATATATAAATTTATAAAGCAGAATGGGTAGAAATATATTATTCTTAAGTATTGGATAAAAGTTTTAAGTGTTTAAATATAATAATATATAAATTTATAGAGCAGAATGGGTAGAAATATATTATTCTCAAGTTGATTGAATTTTTTTAACCATGATATAGAAAATATTATATTTTTATTGCCGTTTTGTTTATCCTTAAAACTTTTATTACTAAATTTTTTATATAATTGTATTTTAGCACTATGAGTTCTAAATTAGAAAATTTTATAATTTGTTAAAAAGTTTGGTTGTGGATGTAATTACATAATGGACTTAATATCAGATAAGCTCCCTAACTTTGTATTATTACCAAGAAACCCCCATTAACTTTAAAAATATCATAAAACACCCCTTAAGTTTGGGAATTATCAGAAAACCCTCTTTAACTTTAAGATTTTATCATAATACCCACTAATTGTCCATCATTATTCTAAAGTTTTAGTGGACAAAAAATACCCCTAAGTAGAGATTTTCAGTATGAAGGGTTTTTTGCAAGAAATTATTTTGACGTGTTAAATTGAATTTTTAAATTTTTTAATCATGTGGAGGTGAAATTCCTTTGGAGGTATTTTTGTCCATTGAAAATTTGGATAATGAGATATAACGCCATTAAGGGGTTTTATGATAAAACCTTAAACTTAAAGGGGAATATCTTGTGAAAACTCCGTAAACTTCGAGGGGTTTTACTATATCCAGTAGTTTCTAGATAGTTAGGGTTTTTTTCTATTATGATCGTCTAAAAGTAATACTAGACCCAGGTGGGAGATGGTGGTGGATCTGGGTGTATGGGGGGATAGGGGATGGGGGGGGGGGCATCTTTTAGACTATTAAACTCTATGTATCAAAAATAACATAAACGATGAATCCTACCAACATCAGACATGATTTTTATATACTTAGAACATGAGGTTATCATACACGCATACATTCAAATATTGATAATTATTCCACATACTTCAATAGACCATTTATAACAGAAGGACAATACAATTTCATTCTGAGAAAGTACACACAATTGACTTACAGATAGACAGAAATAAACTAAAATGACCCATTATAACTAAAATATACAAAAACCATCTAATATATATACGATCAACTCAGTATTTTGCTTTAAACCAGAACCCGATGCAGACATCTTATTTACTCTAGATACAACAAATAGCACAATACATCTTATGGTATCACCTTTCTATGTATACCGATCCCAAGATAGCAGACACAATAAACAATAACAGACATTCAATTCACCAAATTATCTCACCCTACTAAGAACAACCTAGAATATATTCATATTTATAACACAGCATACATATCGAAAAAAATATATCAGATAAATCACCATAAATAACAAATAAAAGCAATTGGCACTCTAGCCTACATTGTATATACCTCACCGCCAAAGAAAAAATCAATATAAAATGTAGGACTTACATATTCAACCCCCATAATCTCGCCAATACTTATACCACAATCATTCCGTCAATAAATTACACAATGAAGTCATCCTCACATAAGATTCACACCATATTGAACATTGTCTGATAATATATAACAAGATATAATATAGAGAAATAATATAAATAAATGACATATTAAGAAAAAAAATAAGAGAGAGAAATGATGGAAACTTAATGCTCAACTAATAAGAGGTAACTTATCACTGATTTGAAGCCTACATTCGAGTAATGATACTTGCGACATTGATATTAATACCAATTTACTAAACCGCACAAGCATTAAAATGAGCAAGCTTATGCTTAATTAGCATGCACGTTCCCACTACAAACTAACTCAATACAATACTTGAATTATTGAATAAAAGACCACACAATCACACAGAAGATAACCACAACAGACAAGTATAATATGTGCAGCCCGGTCAACCATGCAAGGTCGAGGAATTATTCATAATGAGGAAGAAGAATACAATAGAGCACAATCAAAACTATGGCATCATATTTCAGCAGTCCACGGGGCTGACGCCATCAATGAGTTGGTCAATTAGTGAGAGATTGACGAGAGGTCGATTTAGTTAGAGCGAGATGGTCAGATGGGGCGAGCTGAGACAAGAAGTGAAAATAAGAGAGTGTTATGTTGGCCTTGGATAGGATCGGCCTAAGCTTCTTTACTTGCAATCACAAGGGATGTAACAGCTTGGAAGTGACCGAATTGTTAAAGATGGAGAGACTGCAGGAAAACAGAACCTGCAGGAAATACTGTAGCAACCGAAAAACAGAGAGAGAAGAGGAGAACAGAGAGCTTTTCTTTCGGTGGAGAAATTTTCCACTTTCTTATTTTCGTTCTACTTCTTTACATAGATTGTTTACATATATATATAGAGAGATAGGGATAAGATTACAACTCTAATCTTTATCCAATACCTAGGAAACCTATCCTAACTAGTATTCTTCTACAATTAGAACTCTATCTAACAATCCTACCAGATTAACAACTCACATTCTCCCCCTTAATCTGGACGAGATTCCAAGTCCCTTACTCCTAGCAGTTCTCGCATCTCGATGAACTTCACCCTTGCTAGTGCCTTCGTGAGAATATCTGCTCGTTGCTCGCTCGTGCTTACGAACTCCACTTTAATCTGTCCTCGCTCAACACACTCACGAATGAAGTGAAAACGTGTGTCGATATGCTTGCTTCTTCCATGGAAAACTGGATTCTTCATCAAAGCAATCGCGGACTTGTTGTCGATGAAGAGTGTGACCGGCTTGGGCTCACTCCCAATCACCTCGCTGATTAAACTCCTCAACCACAAGCCTTGGCACACTGCTGCAGTTTCTGCCATAAATTCTGCCTCGCAGGATGATAATGCCACCGTCTTCTGCTTCTGTGATGTCCAAGTGACCAAACTGTCACCTAGATAAAATGCCATGCCGCCTGTGCTGCGCCTGTCATCAACATCTCCCGCAAGATCACTGTCAGTGAATCCCACCAACTCTTCATTGCCTCGACCTCGTTTGTACACCAATCCGTAGGACATAGTACCCTTCACGTACCTCAAAATATGCTTGACAACCTGTCGATGCAAAACTGTAGGGTGCTCCATGTACCTACTCACAATCCCCACGGCATATGTGATATCGGGTCGGGTGTGAGTTAGATACCTCAAAGATCCGATAATGCGTCTATACTCCGCCACGTCCACCAGTGTTCCTTCGGAATCCTTTCCAAGCTTTAGCTTTGTTTCCATAGGATATTGCGTCGGGTTGCAATCCATCATGCCGAACTGACCCAAAACCTTCTTCGCATAGGCCGCCTGCCTTAGTGCAATACAATCATCTCGCTGATCCACCTCGATGCCAAGATAATAAGAAAGTAATCCAAGGTCACTCATCTCGAACTCCTTCATCATTTGTTGCTTGAAAAACTTTATCTCATCCGCCCTCAAGCCCGTAACGATCAAGTCGTCCACGTACACGCCAACAATGAGTGTATCCCCTCTGTTACTCCTTGTGTATACCGCCTGCTCCTGAGTGCATCTTGCAAATCCGATGCCCTTCATGCACTTGTCGAGGCGCGTGTTCCATGCCCGAGGTGCTTGGCGTAGACCGTAGAGTGCCTTTGAAAGCTTGTAGACCTTGTGCTCTTGATTCTTCACAACGAACCCTTCAGGTTGAACCACATACACTTCTTCCTGGAGATCACCATTTAGGAATGTCGACTTCACATCCAGATGGTGCACCTCCCACCCATTCTGTGCTGATATGGCGAGGATTATTCTGATGGTATCGAGTCTCGCCACAGGTGCAAACACCTCATCGAAGTCCACGCCTTGCTGCTGGACGTACCCTTTTGCTACAAGTCTTGCTTTGTGCTTGAGGATGTTGCCTTCATTGTCCTTCTTCAGCTTGTACACCCATTTGAGACCAATGGGTTTGGAACCCCGCGGTAACTCCGTGAGTATCCAAGTCTTGTTCTTCTCAATGGCCTCCATCTCCTTCTCCATAGCTGTCCTCCACTCTTGATCTGATGCAGCCTCGAGATAGTTTGCAGGTTCTTCTGTGATCAGGAACAACTCCTCTGCAGGGAGATCAATCACCTCCGTCTCCGCATAGATGTCCGCAAGGGATCGATAGCGTACAGGAGTCATCACTGCAGCTTCAGGAGGTCCGGACAGTTCCAATGCAGTGGGGCTTGCTGCGTCTGCAGCAGTTCCTGAACCTGCGACAGTTTGCGGACTGCTTCGGGCAGCAGGTGGCTGCCTTGCTTGGTGTGTCGGCTATCCAGGCTTGTCTCCGGTCAGCTCCGCTGTAACATGAGCTCCTGTAGGGGCTGTTCGGCCAGCATGTGCTCCTGCAGGGGCTGTTCGGCCAGCAGGAGGTTCCCATCTTTGAGTTGCAGTTTGGACAGCTGGAAATCCGCCGGCTGTTGTAGTCTCCCCTTCCGCTGTGAACTTCGTCCAGTTAGGTGATCTTTTGACTCCATCGGCGCTCCATTCCCATTCTTTTCCTTCCTCAAAGGCGACATCCCTGCTGACCTGAATTCTGCCGTGATGAGGGTCATAAAGGCGATGCGCTTTGCTTCCTTCCTCTACCCCAATGTACACCATTGGCGTGCTCCGGTCGTCGAGTTTCTTGTGTAAAGGATTCACAAAACTTGGTGAACTCCTTTGACAAGAACTCGCCACCACGATCCGTCCTCAATGTCTTCACCTTGTGGTCACATGCATTCTCAACCTCTGTTTTGAACTTCTTGAAGGTTTCACAAGCTTGACTCTTGGCCTTCAACATGTATACCCACATCCATCGGCTGAAATCATCAACGATAAGAAGGAAGTAGTTGTTCCCAGCAAGTGTAGATGGGGTGATAGGACCACATAGGTCAGCGTGTAGTAACTCCAGCGGCTTCTGAGCTCTGAAATTTGCTTGCGAAGGGAACGGCAGTCTTGCTTGCTTGGCGACGAGGCATCCTTCGCATAGTTGATTTGGGTGCAAGATCTTCGGCAACCCGGAAGCCATCCTCTTATCAGTCATCATCTTGAGGGCGAAGAAATTGACATGCCCAAGGCGAGCATGCCATAACCAAGCTGGATCGTTAATGTTCGCCATCAAACACGCCGGCTTGCAAGTCTTTAACTCTATCCTGTACAATCGGTTAGTTGAACGTGTCACCCTCATCAAGAGGGCACCGTTCCTATCAAACACCCTCAGGAACTCGTCAGCAATAACAACCTTACTCCCATCTTCAGTCATTTGACCAAGGCTAATAATGTTAGATTTCAAACTTGGAATATAATATACCTCAGGTAGTAGCCTTTGATCGCCGTTGTTGCACTGAAAGAGGATAGAGCCTTTCCCCTTGATCTCTACCGCGGATCCATCACCAAACTTGACGGTTCCCTTGATGTTCTCGTCGAGCTCCTTGAACTTGTCTCGGTGGCCGGTCATGTGATTGCTAGCTCCGTTGTCGAGGTACCAAACGTCGTTGGCAACTTGTGCCTCCCCCGCTGTGAGTAAGTTTGGCACCACCTTCTCTTCATTGAGTAGAATGACAGTTGATGATTCCTCTAAAACAGTCATCATCAAGGTTGGCTCCTCGTCATATGCACGGGTGAGATGAGCCTCCTGTTCATTATTGCGGCGTTGCTTGTGACACTCCGACTGAAAGTGCCCGTATACTCCGCAATTGAAGCATTTGATGTTGGATTTGTCTCGACCACCGCTTGTGCTACTCTCCCCCTCCTGGCGAGCTGCACCTCCATGGCCGAAACCACCTCCTGGACGTCCTCCTCTGCCGCCGAAGCCGCCTCGGCCTGCCTGGCCGCCGTGCTCCCCTCCGCGGCCTGCTTGGGCAGCGTGGTGCTGCTGCCCGCTGCCGTGGTACTGCTGTCCGCCTCGGCCTCTTTGGCCACGGCCACGCCCACGACCGGCCCCGCGACCTCGTCCTCGACCGCTGCCATCATTGGTTGTAGGTGTTGAGAGGAAGCCTCCGCCGTTCTTCTTGCTCCTTGCTTGCCACTCCGCATGCGTCAACAATAGGTGATCGTCGACGTTGTTTCGAAAAACACGTGCCCTCTCCTCGTGGGCTTTGAGGCGCCCGATCGCCTCCTCGAGTGTCATGTCGTCGATGTCCCCGAACTGTTCAATCGTGGAGACGATAGTAAGGAATCTCTCCGGTACCGCCCGAAGTAGCTTTCTGACGACGTAGTTCTCCTCCATCTCGCCGCCTAAAGCCCGGATCTTGTTGACGACTCCTGTCAACTTCGTCGAAAAATCGTCGACGTTGTCATTCTCCTTCATCCGGAGAAGTTCGAACTCGGACTTCAAGGTCTGCACCTTCGCGTTCCTCACACGATCCGCTCCTAGATGCATTGTTTTCAACGTCTCCCATGCCTCTTTTGCCGTTTGCTTCTCTGCGATCACCATCAAAGTCTCTTCAGGAATCCCCTGGTAGATAGCCGCCAACGCCATCTGATCCTTCCTGTGTTCCACGGACGCGCCTGCCGCGGGCTCAATGGCATCCCACACGTCTTGAGCCTTCATGTAGACTTTCATCTTGATCGCCCACGAAGCATAGTTGTCCCTCGATAACGTCGGGTATTGAAGAGTGAGCGAACCCACCTTGGTCGTCATCTTCTCCGAACTCGTCATCTCTTCAGATCTTGGTTGGTACTTAGGCATACACCGCTCTGATACCACTTGTTGGCCTTGGATAGGATCGGCCTAAGCTTCTTTACTTGCAATCACAAGGGATGTAACAGCTTGGAAGTGACCGAATTGTTAAAGATGGAGAGACTGCAGGAAAACAGAACCTGCAGGAAATACTGTAGCAACCGAAAAACAGAGAGAGAAGAGGAGAACAGAGAGCTTTTCTTTCGGTGGAGAAATTTTCCACTTTCTTATTTTCGTTCTACTTCTTTACATAGATTGTTTACATATATATATAGAGAGATAGGGATAAGATTACAACTCTAATCTTTATCCAATACCTAGGAAACCTATCCTAACTAGTATTCTTCTACAATTAGAACTCTATCTAACAATCCTACCAGATTAACAACTCACATGTTATACCAAACTAAGTTTTAGAGCTCTGGCTGCTGTTCCAATAAGAGGACCTAAACCTCCACACCTTCCCGTCCGCGGTGTCCTCAAAGCTTACCAGCATGCTCTCCCGCCCTCCGTCCCGCAGCGCCGGCAGGTGCCTCTCAGCTTCCCCACATCGCTCGGCGTCACCGTCTTGTTGAACAAATGCTCTCTGCTCATGCTAGCGCCGCCGCGACCATCCGGCTGCGTGGCCGCCTTATCATTGCTGTTGTTGCTGCTATTATCGGTACTGAATGTGAGCCTGCCCTGGCGGAGCTCGTCGGCGTAGGTGTGTTTTCTAAGCATGTCGACGACCTCTGCTTTGAAGTGCCGAGCCAGGAACTCGAGCTCGGTGGTGTCGAAGGGGTTGGACTCTGAGAGGGTCTTGAAGTTGGTGACGACGTCGCGGCCGCGGAAGCGCTATGTGGCGACGTAGTAGGAGCGGACGCAGCGGGCTCCGAGTGCGAAGGTGTCGCGAGGCAGACGCGCTGAGTGCTTCTCATGTAATATTTGGCGCGACCGCACGGCGTTGGCTGGGGGACACGAGCGCCCTTGTAGCTGGGACAGGGAAGCTTCCTTGATTCCGCCGATGCCCGTGCGCTGCAGCTGGGGGTGGTGCAGGGGTCTTCGCCGCCGCCGTCACCGCTACTGTCCATGGTGTTGATGGTGGTGGTGGAGTAGAAATATGAATGAATGGGGTCGGTAGAGAGAGAGATAGGTAGAGACGTGGAGGGGTTGGGAGCTTGTGGAGGGATATATATATATATAAGGAGGGGATTTGGATTCTTTTTTGCTATGTTTCGACATTAGAGATTTATATTAGAGGGAGGGGAAAGAAGAATGCATTTGGATCCTGATTTCGACTTCATTATGATGTTGAAGGATCAGGGAAACAACCCCAAGTGAAAAGATAGGTGGCAAACAGATCTTCGGATGTCTTAGAATTGAATACAGTACGATATTTGTTGGCATTCCCACGGAGATCCTGGAAAGGTAAAACAAATATTTTATACATTCATAGAGCAGATTACTTCACTTATATTGGCACCTATATTTATCATGAAAAATCTGAGTCTCTGGACATTGTTCAAACCTATAAACTGAAGTTGAAAATCAACATCAACAGAAGAAGTAAAACCGTCAGATCTGATCGTGTGGTGATGACTACGGTAGATAGGAGTCAGTGACGAACGTCCAGGACCATGTTGCTAGATACCTAGAGGAATACGGATCGCCCACCATGTAACTATCCGGTTCATCCTAGCATGAATTGTGTAAGCTGAAAGACGAAACATGAGCTCTTAAGGAATGGTAAAGAATATGATGCTCATCTTCTTTAGCCAGGATCCTTGGGGAGAACACTTAAAGACAGCAACTTACATTCTGAATAGGACCAAGTAAACAGTTTGCTAAAGACACCTTATGAGCTTTGGACTGGTCGAAGCCCCAGTTTAAAGCATTACATATTTGGGGATGTCCAGGCTGACAAGCCTTATAGGCCAAATGAAAGAAATGGAACTCCAAAACATGTTACACTAACTTTAATTGATACTCTGAACCGCTCTAGGGGCTTTAAGTTTATGATCCCACTATAAGGAACATTTTGTGAGACGGACAGCAACATTCTATGAGGATGTTGAGTTTGGGGGGAGAAATAACGGTTAGAGACAGTTAGTTTGAGAGGAATTGGCTTCAGATCCAATCCATACAGTTACTTTTTGAGCATATTATCAGGCCATACTGTTGTTCCGTCAAGAGTAAATCCGAACCTCAAGAGATAATGTTGAACAACTCCCTGTTCCAGAAAGAACAAACTAAACAACCTCAAGAACAGTGCCATTAAGAGGAGAGTGCCACGAGAGAAAGGAGAAAATGCTATTCCGAATGATATATTGTATCTCCAAGAACATGAGGAGAGTAGGGAATGTTGGACAGATCGATCCAATCAACTTCTCTCAGTGCCATGAAAAAGTTCTCACTCTCAACAGTGGAGTGAATGCCATGAAGGAAGAGTACGAAGTCTATGCAAGACAATACAGGTTTGGAACTTGTCCATTACAAAGGGCAAAACCAATTGGGTTGTACAATGATTTTTAAAACCAAACAGATCAAACGTAATGGTGGAGAGGTATAGGGCACGTCTTTTGGCTAAAGCTATACTCAAAGGAGGCGATTGATTATACACGAGACTTCTCTCCGGTTTTCATCGAAAGACTCTTTCAGAATAATCATGGGCACTTGTGCTCATTAACTTGAGTGAATCAGATGGATGTTAAGAGACTGCATTTTCTCAATGGAGGACATTGGATGAGCAGATGATCTTATATGGTGCAACCAGAAACTTGTCGGGAGACGCCAAAGAATATGGTCTCAATTAAGGAAAATCCATCTATGGACTCAATGCAGGCTCACTCTCAATGGTTATCATATAAGTTTACAAAGTAGTTATCTCGTTCGGTTTGGAGATGATACATTGTTTGATGACTGTGTATACACAAGTTCAGTGGGAGTAAGTACATTTTCTGGTTCTGTATGTGATGACATCTTGCTTGCCACTAAAGTTGATATATGCTATGTTGCACGAAACCAATAGATTTCTATCAAGAGAATTTTGAGATGAAAGATTTGGGAACGCCTCTTTTATATTAGGGATCCAGGATACCTCGAGATCTGGGCTCTGCGGTTGATTCTTGGATATTCACAAAGAGGCTATAATCGTAAGGTACTTAAAAGGTTTGGCATGCAAAGATTGGCAGACCATGGTGACCGCCTGTTGCTAAGAGGAGACAAGTTTAGTCTCAGCAGTGCCTTAAAGGTAACTTTGAAATTCAGGAAAATGCAGAAGATTCCTTATGCTCGGCTGGAGTGAAGTCAATGTATGCTCAGTATGTACGCGTCCGGATAATTGCGTACATTGTGGGATTTAGCAGATACTTAAGCAACCCTGTATGGATTATATGGATGCAGGTCAAAGGGTTAATAGGTATCTTTCAGAAAACAAAGAGATACATGCTCACATACAGAAAATCAGAGAAATTAGAGTCATTGGGTATGTCGGACTCTGATTTTGCTGGATGCCAAGATAGCAAAAAATTCTACATCAGTGCTACATTTATATGTTACAGAGAGATCTAATCATGGAAAAGTGTCAAACAACACTAGTAGCGTTCCTCCACTATGTGCAGCAGATGTAAGCCTTGCTATGAGGCATCCAATAGGGAATATGGCTGCAAATTTTGTCACGGGACTTGCCAATGGTTTGGAAAATGTGCAAAGACACTTAAGCTATATTGTTACAAATAAATCTGCAAGTAATGTATTCCAATAAGCAATCAGACTCAACTAAAGTCAAAACATATTGACATTAAGTTCCTGGTTGTGAAAGAACGGGTACAAGAATGAGCAGATATCCATAGAGCACATTGGACAAACTCCATGATAGCGATCCTCTTTACAGGGATTTACGACCTAGAGGCTTTCATGAGGCATACTGCTCATGATGTGTGTGGTATTATTTTGAGGATATTATGTTTAGTGGGAAGTTTTTTGTTTAGTTGTGTGGGTATGCTTTAGTTTGTTTGTATTTCTGATGCAGAATAAATGTTTCAGTTAATGACACTCTGGTTACAGTTATGTTTGGTTTTGACGCTCATTAAGGAGACCAGTGAAATAGACATGTACTGATCAATTTGCATGTAATTTTCATGCTGGCGCATCCATGATGATCTATGTGTTTGATTGTATTGGTTATAGGTGTGATGCATGTGTATGGTCGAGTCACGATAAATGTGACGAAGCCCGCTTTGATCCTATATTGAAATATCATGGAGCGAAGAGTTCGAAATGACCAATTATCAGTGATAGCAATGTTTTGAGCCATTAGTTTAGTACACAATTTAAGGAATCATATGGGCCCAATGTGGGAGAATTGTTGGAATTTAATCTTAATTAATTCTTATTTGTGGTGCACATATGATTAATAATGTGTATAGGGTGCCAATCTTTCAGGATACCCACTAAAGTGATCAATCTAAGTTGGGTTTAATTTTGGTATTTAAATAATTGTCATGGGGTTATATGTGCAGATACCAGGTTGTAATTGGTAATTTAATGAGGCTAAATTACAAAAGTACAGCATCTAATACAATAAGGCGTTTATGGTCCCTAATCTAGGGTAACATTCTCTAATTCTCTACACAACCCCCGAGTTCTAGCTAGAAGAAATTCGGATTAGAAGAAAACCTAAGAGGTTAGAAAGATCAAAACCCATCTCCAAGGTTTCATCCATGTATTCCAGGTAAAGCTTCCGCCTCTTTTGATTTTGTTAATGCTCTTTGAATTAATCATGGCTATACTGGTTTAGATACTCAATTTATGATGTAATCTAACAAATTAACCACGCGATCTCCCGATCCAATCTATAAATCCTTCTTTCTCTAACCTCGTCCTCGCTCACCAA